TGCTCAGTGCTAAAGTGCCCCTGGGTTCAATCCCTAGTACCAAAAAAACTCCATGTTCCAGCTTGGGACCTAGAGCAGCTAGACTCTGTCTTAAAAAATAAAAATCAGGCATGGTGGTGCACACATGTAATCCTAACAGCTAGGGAGGCTAAGGCAGGAGAATCACAAGTTCAAGATCACAAGTTAGTAAGGTCTTAAGCAACTTAGTGAGAGCCTGCCTCAAAATTAAAAATGGGCTGGGGATGTAGCTCAGCGTAGAGCACCCCTGGGTTCAATCCCCAGTACTACAAAAAAAAAAAAAAATCTATTTTGTCTGATAATGATGTCATTATTTTATTATTTATATCATTTTACTTTCAGCTTTTCTGTTTTCATTTTACAAACTTTTTAATTATATCTCTCCTAAAACATGAATAGTTAAGTTTTTAGAATTCAGTCTGGAAACATGTGAGTTTTAAATGATGAGTTTTAGGCTGGGGATATAGCTCAGTTGGTAGAGTGCTGCCTTGCATGCACAAGGCCCTGGGTTCAATCCCCAACACAAATAAACAAACAAACAAACAGTGAGTTTTGTGCTTTTCAGTTGTCTTGATTTTTTGGGGGGTGGGGTGGGATGGGGGTGGGGTCTTATTTTGAAATAAATTTTTTGTCAATTCATCCCTTCTATGTGTTTGTTTGTAAATTGTACTTTCTCTAGTATGGTACACATGCCTGTAATCCCAATGACTTAGGAGGCTGAGGTAGGAGGATCACAAGTTTGAGTTTAGCCTCCACAATTAGTGAGACCCTGTCTCAAAAAATAAAAAGGACTGGGGATATAGCTCAGTGGTGAAGTCTCTGGGTTCAATCCCCAATGGTAAAGTGTCTCTGGGTTCAATTCCCTAATAATAATAGGGTAAGGATCTAGGTCAGTGGTAGAGTGCCCCTTGGTTCAATCCTCCCCAAATATTTTACTCTCTATTCTTTTGTTAGTTTATCCTGATATTTTGCCATGTATATATGATATAAAGTTTAAATATAATCTCTTTATTCCCTTCCCAGACCATTAAATGGTATAAATAAATCTCCAATGTTGTTCTTGTAAGCCTAAAATTACTATACAACTTTATTTTGGAGAACACCAGCTTGATAGAATGCTCTTTTAAAATTTCTACCTTAAAGACTTGTATACCTGGAAGATATGAACACATTTCATATACAAAGCAGAGTAATAGCACCATGATTATAATGATGTTTTTATATTAGTCAAGTTTAGCTTTTAAGTAACAGTATAATGCTCTAAAATAACAGTTGTTGTTTTAACCAGTTATTTAGTTTCTTTAAGATTACTTGCTCTAAAAAAAAAAAAAAAGAAAAGAAACAAAGCTTAATAAACAATGTTATGGGTAAACTAATGTTTTAAGAAATTTTTGTTTTTTTAACATATAGATCAAACTTTGGTTTCTATGAGTATTAGTATTTGACCTTAGGGATAAAACCTTAAAATAGCTTTGATTGTTTCACCTATATATATAAAACCAACTTACACAGACCTTCTTTATCATTTACTTAAACCCTCTTATTCACTTCATCATATAAAGACTTTCTTATCCAGAAACACTTTTTTTTCCCTTCTATTAAATGTTTTTCATACCTAGAACCTTCTAATTCCTCCTTTCCATCTGTGAGCCTCCTTTTCTGTTCATATTTTGAAACAATCCTTGTAAATTTCTGAATTTAGGCAAATTATTCATTTTAATAAAAATATTTTATTTACAGTACTCTTAGTTGAAACAGTTGAAACTTTTGGGCCTTTGTATACAGAAATCTTCTATAAACCTTTGTATATAGAATCCCATCTGTTTACCATTTTATGAAAACACAATGTTTAAGTACATAGAATTATACCTGTTGGGACTTTAAATTTTTATTAACCTTTTTCAGTGATGACAAAGCAACTTTAAATCAATTTTTCTTCATTTATCAATTTATGAAAACATCAATGTTACCCAATGGAATTCAGGTGTTATGAGTACTTGATGATATATTTAACATTTAGTGTTTTAACCTTGTAAATTAATTAGATGTCTAACAAAAATATTTATGAGTAATCCCATGTCAAATCTACTTTACTTATTTTACCAAAATATCAGACAAGTGTACTGAACAATATTAGCTATTTCTTCCTTGTTGAAGAAAAGTTTTAGAACCAAGGGATATTAGACAGTTTATAGACATCACATTTTATTAGTTTTTTTGACCACCTAGAGAGACTTGTAAATTTAATTTTGGAGACATCTTTATTTTCATCTATTTAACCAATTTAAATTGAACATTTTTTTCCTAGTTGGTATTTGGACAAGTTTGTATGGTGAAAATTATTTTCTATTAATTTTGAGAACAAAGCTATGATATTAAGCTCCTTACTGAGAAGGTCCATTATTTTGTATGACCATTCCTAGAGCCTCAATGACAAACAGGCTTAATTTTGCTCCATAGTTGAGAACAGAGGCTCAAAATAAGGCCCCATTTTAATGTCTTAAAGGCTTCCAAAACCTGTTAATAACTCAGAGGAGGAGTAAACTTTTTTTTTTTTTTTTTTTTTTTTTGTAAATTTATCCTTTAAAAGTAAGTGGCCCTTTGTGGATTCAGGATTTAGGGTGGTGTGTTTTTATTGTCTCCCTAAATTTCTCCATGAAAATGGTAGGGCTTTCCTGGTGGCCCAGAGTAATCTCAGAGACCTTCCAATAGTTAATGGGCTTTTGCCTGATCTTCCTGAGGGCTTCAAGGACCAACATTTGGAAATATATCATCTTCCTAGCATCCTGTTCATCATTTGGGTCCCAGTCAGGATGCTTCTGGGAATTGCCTGTGCTCTAGATGAATAATTAGGTTTGTTTCTAGTTTGTGATGCTGGGGCATGGGCAAGATGTAGGTCTATCCCCAAATTCTTTAGCTACTTGCTTTAGGATGGTGGTCTCCTCCTTATTGGAGGCTAACGTTTGGCTAAGTAATAATATAATATCTTTAATATCTTTCCAGGTGAGGTCAAACACCTGGTATAAGTTTTGAAACATCCCAATATATGTATTTAGAAACATCCCAATATATGTATTTAGACCCTCCAAAAATTTCCCAGAATTTGTTAATAAAAATAAGTGTTTTAAGGGGGGTAGGTCCTCTTGATTTCTCTTCCTCAGTAGGTGATTCCTTAAGGCCTTCTCTTCTGGTAGACATTGAGGTTAGGCCTGACAACACTTGAAAATGAAGCACTTTCCTGATCATTTGTAATTTCCCAGTATGTAGACTAGTGGTCAATCTACAAACTGACTTGAGAGAAGCTCCCACCTGAATGATAGAAATTTTAGGGACATCTCCCTAAACTTGAGCTTCATTACAGTCAGAAAACCCATCTCTCATCTCCTGGCTTTGCCAAAGTTATTTCCGTCTTCCTTTGACAAAGTGCTAGATCCCAGTTTGCCCTGTGCCAGAGACCCTGAGAGGATTCAGACTTAAGGGCTACAGCTTTCCTCCGTGCCACTATAACTCCTGATTATAAAAAACCCATGAAAAAAGAGGATAATTGTATACATCTTAACCTTTTGTGCCTGTTGTCCTACAAACTAAAGGAATCACCAGAGTGTAAGGGGAACATCTATTGTTTGTTAAGTGCTTAACAAACACCATTTTCTGGAGGAATTTATGGGAGGAGTTGGTTAAAATAGAGTGCCTCCCTCTTGTAGCAATTTAAAAAAAAATACTTTGAAGTACATCTGAGCATAGGAACAGTAATGGGAGATTTTTAAACTGGCTTGTGAAGGCCAACTATGCCAACAAAGTCTTTCTTTCAGTCCTACAAGCTGAAGAATTGCTAGTGTTTTTGATTGGTGAAGGAAAGGAGCATCCAGGAGGGATTGGATGTGGGGGTGGGGAGTGTTGCGTGGCCCTCAGGAGGCAAATATAATTGGGACTTTCCCTCAGTGCCATTCATCTACCGATCACCTTAGATACCCCTTAAGACAGTGGGGAGGGGATTCGCGAGAAGGAACCTTAGGATTTTGGCCTGAGTGTAGCCCAGACCAGAAATTCTGCAGTTGTTCCATACTCCTTCATCCACCTCCACTTATCCAAGGCAGATTGGGACTAGGGACACTGTGTACTCACGCCAATTGCTCTCCAGGCTTGGACAGAAGAGTAGGAAGCGGCTGCAGCAGAACTAAATGCCTGCTCTGTATTGAGCAGGTGATTGAGAGCTACCCAGGCCAGGAAACCTCTCACCTGATGGCTGCACTAACTGCATTTAAATAGCTGACAGGTGCCCATCATCCTCCAAAATGAGAGAGAGAGAAAGATGCACCTCAAACAGATGTGGGGTGCATGGAGAGGAGCTTACCTTGGGGTAAACCTTGGTGGGACCTTCAAATATGATACCGCTGGTTACCAGTGATGAGCCCTGCTTCCCCACATGTTGAAGTTTGAACATTAGAGAAGCACGCGGAGGCAAGCATATGAAGCAGGGTTTATTTAAAAAGGGGTAACACAGACTTCTCCCACGAGGGAGAGGGGAACATGGCTGGTATCATGATATCCCAAGAAGTGAGATTTTCTGTCCTTTTATATGTCCTAGGCTTCCTTTGTTCTCCTGCCTTTCCCCCTTATCTTTCTCCTTCCAGAGAAGGTGACTAGGCCCAGGAATGCTCAGTGGGATGGCCAAAAGGTGGGAAACAGGTGGCTGAAGGGGGAAGGGCAGGGTGGAGAAGACAAGGACACATTAACAACCTTATAGATCCCTGTAGGGAGGGGAAATTTCTGGGACAGGTTACCTTGGCTACAGGTTGGAGCAGGGGCAGGTTCTTGATAAACTCTAAAGAAATGAACATTTCAATCCCTCAGGGGACAGTCTCCAACTTCCCAGACTCTCAAAATTGGCCTCCTTGGGCTGGGGCTGTAGCTCAGAGGTAGAGCGCTTGCCTATCCTAGCAGGGGTGAGGCACTGGGTTCGATCCTCAGCACCACATAAAAATAAATAAAGTTATTTAAAAAAAAAAATTGGCCTCCTTGATCTGACCTGACTCGATTTACCTATCTACACTGCCTAATTCTGGCTTCAGTGTCACACACCAGCAAGAGCACAGTCCTTCTGAGTTTCCCAGCAGTATGTGACAGGAGACTGCCTAGTTATAGCTGAGAGTCCTTGTGGAGAGGGACCTGTGGGAAGAGAGGAGCCTTGGACTTAAGGAATGGGGTGGGAGGTGTCCAGCATTTCTACAGTAGGCCTTTCGCTTTCTCATGATTCACTGATCAAAGTCCACTTTTCCCTTTAAGACTACAAGCAGAAGAGGGCAAGTGCACTGTACAGAAGTTTTGTTCAGTGTCTGACACGACAGGGACTTTTAATGCCCCCTGAGTTCACTCTTCCACTTTCTCACCCAGCTCCTGCCTCAGCCTGCTGGCCTCTGTGGTCTTTTGTCTTGAGGCTTCCAGTAGTTTCTTTTGGACCTGTTGAGGATATGGAAGGTGGCAGAAGAGAGGGCTGGGGAATTTTCATCTAGCTCACTCCCAGCCAGGCAGTGTTGATAATGCCTGCCTTCCTGTCTGATGGCCCTCTCTCCTTCCTGCAGCTGTGGATCTCACAGTACCCATTCTAGTAACCACTCTTCCCTGCACCCTATCAGGCCTAGGAGTGACAGCTTGCCCTTGCTGTTAGTCCTATGATGCTTGTTAAATTTCCCATAATCCTGCTTATTTATTTATTTAACTGAAGAGTAAATCTGGGCCTCTTACATGTTGGGCAAGACTTCCTACCACTGAGCTACATAACCAACATCCAACTTTTTTTTTTTCCTTTTGAGACAATGTCTAAGTTTCTGAGGCTGTCCTTGAACTTGTGTTTCTCCTGCCTTAGTCTTCTGAGTTACTGGGACTATAGACATGCTCCATCACACCTGGCTTGCTTATATCTTAAATAGCTTCCTTCATCAGTTCCCCCTTTTGCATATGCCATCTTTTTTCCTTCCAGGAACCTGATACAGTAGCAAAATAAATATATATTTGTGGTATACAAATATGTATGTTGTTGTGGCAATATTCAAGGAATCTACTGAGCCTTATAAAGGAAGCAGATTCTGATGTATACTGCAACATGGATGAACCTTAAAGACATGATTTAAGTGAAACAGCCAGACACAAAACACTGTATTGTATTATCCCCTTGATGTGAGGTATTGGAAAAAGTCAAATTCAAAGAAACATAAAATAGAAAGGTGGTATATTAGTATTCTTCAGAGAAATTAAACCGTGTGTGTGTGTGTGTGTGTGTGTGTGTGTGTGTGTGTGTAAAGAGAGACACTTTGGGCTGAGTTGATAATGACTCACATGATTATGGGAATTGTCAAGTCTCCAATCTTCAGGGGGGCCAGCAGGTTGGAGACCTGGGGAAGAGCCCATGCTGCATGCCGTTCAAGCCTTCAGATTGTAAGGCTATCTGCTGCCCAGTTCTCCTCTTGCTTGGGGGTTTGGGGGTAAGATCAGTCTTTTGTTCCATTCAGGCCTTCAACTGGATGCTCACCCACATTATGAAAGGCAGTCTGCTTCACTCAAAGGCCACTGGTTTAAATGTTAATCTTATCCAAAACACTCTCACTGAATCATCCAGAAAAATGTTTACCCATGTATGTGGGCACTGTGGTCCAGCCAAAGTGGAGATAAAACCCATCACTATTGCTGCTAATAAGGGCGATGGGAGAAGAAAAAGTGAGCAGCTTTTGGATGTGTTATGTCAGTTTTAAATATGAAAAGGCTCTGTCACACAACAGTATGACTATGCTTAACACTACTGAACTGTACACTTTAAATGGTAATTTTTTGTTTTTTGGGTTTTTTTTTTTTTTTTGGATACTGGAGATTGAACTCTGGCACTTGACCACTGAGCCACATCCCCAGCCCTATTTTGTGTTGTTTTTAATTTAGAGACAGGGTCTCATTGAGCTGCTTAGCACCTTGCTTTTGTTGAGGCTGGCTTTGAATTTGCAATCCTCCTGCCTCAGCCTCCTAAATGGTAAATTTTATGTCACATGTTTTATTTTTGTTTCTTTACTGGTAATTGAACCCAGGGGTGTTTTGCCACTAAGTCACATACATCCACAGCCCTTTTTATTTTTTATTTTGAGATAGAGTCTTTTTAAGTTTCTTAGAGCATTGCCAAGTGGCTGAGGCTAGTCTCAAACTTATGATCCTCCTGCCTCAACCTCAAACTTGCTAGGATTACAGGTGTGCGCTACCACACCCTACTCCTATGTTATGTTTTTACTAAAACTTTTTTTTTTGGTAAGTGTGTGCTGGGGGCCAAATACATGGCCTTGTGCATACTAAGTATACCTTCCACTACTGTGCTACCAACCTGACCCCAGCCCTTGACTGCAGCTCATGAGGAGTAGTGAAAGGAGAAAGAATAGGTAGGTAAGGTGTGTGCAAGGGAAGAATTATACTGAAGGACCACAGAATCTAAGCTTCATAAGATGAGCAGAGAGAACATGAGAGGACTGGCAGAGAGCAAAATTAGACTTGAGGTTGTGGTGATCTTGATGAGACTGCAGACTTCTTGACTGTGAGTCCACAGTAAGTGAACCACAAGAATAAGATGTGGGGGTTGGAGGATGGGAATGTTTGAAACTGAGATTTCAAAGGTGGTACAGTTATTGATACTGACAAGCATATGATCCTGGGAGAGGCTGGAGTGAAGGAAAAAGTTGACTGGAAGGGAGAGGGCAAAGACCACAAGACCAAGGCACTGGATAAAATTACTTGGGTATGGAGGTCACCAAGAATTGTGGTAGAATGGAGCTGGGGATGTGGCTCAAGCGGTAGCATGCTCGCCTGGCATGCACGGGGCGCTGGGTTAAATCCTCAGCACCACATAAAAATAAAGATGTTGTGTCCACCGAAAACTAAAAAATAAATATTAAAAATTCTCTCTCTCTCTCTCTCTCTCTGTAAAAAAAAATTGTGGTAGAATATAAGAAATAAAAAATAGATAGAAAGGAAACATAAAGAAAGGGCAAAAGAAATTTAAAAAAAATTTTTTTTGGTATTGGTGTTGGAACTCAGGGGTGCTCTCCTACTGAGTTACATCCCCAGGCCTTTTTGTTTTGATACAAGGTCTTGCTAAGTTGCTGAGGCTGACCTCAAAGTTGTGATCCTCCTGCCCTAGCCTCCAGAGAAAGAAATATAATTTTAAAGTTCGGCATACTTTTCCAGGCCTGTCACTGCCCAAGCCAGTGTCTCTCCTAAGCCTGTCACTCCTACATTTCTGGGAAATCTGTATATCTCCTTGTGCACTGTCAGTTCACCCACCAATAAATAGATTAAGCAAAGGGAGATATGATATTTTGAAACACCTGTAACTTAGAGGGCTTTCCAGCATTATCTATTGATCAGATATTGGCGACCATGTCAACCTAAGATTCCTCAAAATGACAAGACTGCCATAAACCTTCTTGAGATTAACAGACTGATATCATTCTCACGTATCTTCTCATACCCACTCCTCACCAAGTTTCCTCTAAAAGAAGAGCTAGGAACCCTTGAAAATGTGTCTCTTGCTTTCCCTTAGCAGGGGCTCTTTTTCTCTGCATCATACCATTATCCTCTTAGAGTAGCTTGTTCCTTTACTTCCCTCACTTATCTCTTTCCTAGACAGCTGAGCTAGTGACCTCTAACAAAGAAAACCACTGATAAATGTGACTACATAAAGGTTCTAAATGTTTGCAACATAGTCTCAATCACTTTCCATATCCCAGAAATTTCTTAAAAATCTTGGGTTTGCTGATGGCATACACCTGTAATCCCAGCAATTCAGGAGGCTGAGTCAGGAGGATCACAAGTTTGAGTCCAGCTTGGGCAATTCAGTGAGACCTTGTCTTAAAATAAAAAGTGCTAAATGTAGCTTAGTGGTAGAGTCTCCCTGGGTTCAATCCCTGGTGTCAGGGGAGGTCGGGGAAAGCATGATGGGTTCACAGATGGTCCAGGTATCTCTAATGGATTATCTTTAAAAAATTCCATTTCCAGTGGATGTGGTGGCACATGCCTGTTTTCCCAGAAGTTTGGGAGGCTAAGGCAGGAGGATCACAAGTTCAAATCCAGCCTCAGCAACTTAGCAAGGTCCTAAGCAATTCAGTGAGACCCTGTCTCAAAATAAGTAAATAAATAAAAAATAAAAAGACCTGGAGATGAGACTGAGTGGTTAAGTGCTCTGGATTCAATTCCCAGCATCAAAACAAACAGGGGCTGGGGTTGTGGCTCAGTGGTAGAGCACTTGCCCAGCATGCATGAGGCACTGGGTTTGATCTCTGGCACCACATAAAAATGAACAAATAAAATAAAGGTATTGTGTCCATCTATAATTAAGAAAAAAAAATTAAAAACAAACAAACAAAAACCTCACCAACTCTGATTTCTCCAATAGGTATTAGTCTAGTTTTTACCCCCTCACACACTTTGGGAGTTAGCTTTGAAAGTATATAAATATTCCCAGGCAATCATTAATTTCCTCTGTTTTTGTAGTGTTGGGGATCAACTCAGGGCCTCACACATGCTAGGCAAGTGCTCTTAATATGTGAGAAAACAAAGTACGTCTTTAGCCTGGACCTCGTCTTTGAATTCTGAGCCAGTACGGTCACTTGGATTTCTCATTCACTCTTTAAACCTGACTTGTGTGAAACTAGAGTCTTCATCTGCCTTGCCAAAGGCATTCCCTTTCCTGCATTCTATACCTTGCAAATGCAGCCATGCAAACTACAGACACTGGAGTTATGTCAGACCCATGAGCTGCTATTAATTTTCACATATTAGAGGTCTCTTTTAAAAAATCAATTCTGCCTCCTACATCTCTCTCTTTTTGAGAGAGTTTTTTTAATATTTATTTTTTAGTTTTCAGCGGACACAACATCTTTGTTTGTATCTGGTGCTGAGGATCGAACCCGGGCCGCATGCATGCCAGGCAAGTGTGTTACCGCTTGAGCCACATTCCCAGCCCCATCTCTCTCTTTTTGAAATACTGGGGATTGAGCCCAGGGGTGCTTTATCACTGAGCTACATCTCCAGCCTTTTTTATTTTGAGACAGGATGTTGCTCAGTTGCCCAGGCTGGCCTTGAACTTGCGATCCTCCAGAGTCACTGGGATTGCAGTGGGCCACTGTGCCTGGCTCCTACATCTCTCTTGAATGGATTGCCTTTTTTTCTCCTCTATTATGTTTTTTTCTGGGGGGGTGGTACTGGGGATTGAACTCAGGGTCACTCGGCCACTGTGCCACATCCCCAACCCTATTTTGTATTTTAGGTAGAGAGAGAGTCTCACTGAGTTGCTTAGTACCTTGCTGTTGCTGAGGCTGGCTTTGAACTCATGATCCTCCTGTCTCAGTCTTCTGAGCCACTGGGATTACAGCCACAGCACGCGGCCTCTATGGTGGTTCTCCATCGTAGAAGGTCTTCCTCTTATCTCCATGTGACTTCAGCTGTAAACTCCTAAAGACTTTCCACCTCTCAAATCAATTCCTATTTGGCAATGTCCTTAAGTGTTTTATTTCTTATGCTGGAGGTGTAGCTTTCTGGTGGAGTGGGTTAAAAAAAAATGAAAAACATGTTAGGGCTGGGGATGTGGCTCAGTAGCAGAGCATTTGCCTAGCATGCACGAGGCCATGAATTCTATCTTCAATATTGCAAAGAAAAAAATGCTTTATTTTCATTTTTATTTATTTATGGACTTCTTTGGAGTAAGCATTCTACCTCTGAGCTACACCCCCAGCCCTTTTTTGGTTTTAATATTATTTTGAGACAGGGTCTGGCTAAGTTGCAGAGGCTACCATACAATTTGTGATCCTCCTGCCTCCACATTCCTAGTAGCTGGGAGTTGCAGGATTATATTTTATACACACCAATCTGATTATATTAGCCCTTGCTTTAAAATCTCACAAGATTAATAGCCCATCCAAAAAATAGCAAAGGACACCAGCCACTTTTCTTTGAAGAGGAAAAACCAAACCAAACCAAAACAGGTATACACATGAAAAGTTGTTCATTCCCCCTCATCAGGATGTAACATTCTTGTTACAGGTAACAATGACATTTTTTTCCATTTATCCAATAGGCATTTTAAGAGACTTAATAACGAATGATTGCAAGAGTGTGCATAAATAATCCTATATACTACTGTTGGCATTTTAGATGGCATTTTGAGAATGTTTTGATATTTGAAGGAACACAAATTACCTAATATTTCTGGTCCTTAATTACAGTATCTGGTTAAATGAGGTTAACACCTACCCTAATGGTCTCAAGGAAGTGACAAAATGTAGGGGAAAATGACTTATAAATAACAGCTAATATCTATTGAGCATTTGCTATTTTAGGTGCTTCACATGTGTTAACTCATTTAATCCTCATGATAATATTTTTAAGTACTATTATTACGATTTCCTGAGAAACAGGGGATAAAAACATTGCTCAAGGGATAGAATGAGTTAGGGGTAGAGCAGGGACTATTGTATCTATATAGGAGACCAAGCCTGAGTTTCTGCAGCAACTTTCCTTTCTCCCCACGCTTTTGTTTTTGGGGTGGGTGGGGTGTAACTGGGGATTGAACCCGGAGCACTTTACCACTGAGCTATATCCCTAGCTTTTTTTTTTTTTTTTAATTTTGAGACAGGGCCTTGCCAAGTTGTTGAGGCTGGCTTTGAACTTTGTGATCCTCCTAAGTGTGCTACCGAGCTGGGTTCTTTCCTTTTCGTAAAAGCCCACGGCATCCGGGGTCGGAAATGGTTTACATAAGCCGTCCCCCGCCCCGCGTAGTTACCATCAGCTGGCCTTCGCTAATTGCTTTGTGTATGTCACCGCAGTTGTCTGATGGACCTCTCCCGGGGAACTCAGTCCATTTCTCCAATTCTCTTTCATAGTGTCCAAGTCAACTCTGGGTACAAGGTAAAACAAAACCTTAGGTAAAGGCCTAACAAATGTTATCAATGGCATATCTTTACAAGGGTGAAATAGTTTTCACGAAAATGAGTCAGATACATGATAACTATTCTACATACAGGGTAAGTAAGTGCCTTGACATTAGCGGAGCTCCAAGTCGCTGGCATTAGGGGCCGACCTTTCCCGCTTTCCTACAAGTAGCACCTGTCCGGAACCTTTCCGGCGGAGTCTGAGGTAGCCTACCCGGACAACGCCTCGGAACACACAACATAGCGAGAATTAGTGGGTTAACTAGATGCCCGAAATTTCTAGCTTAATTACATAGTCGCGACGGGAAAACCCTTAATTTTTAAAACGTTTTAAAGTCCTGGGTGAAGATTACATTTTTATACCTTAAAAAGATAGTAATTAGTTAATTCTAGGAGAATTTCTTTTTCTTTTTGTTTAGGCATGTATGTAGACAGCCACTCGAAACCAAGAAGGAAGGCGGGGGAGGAAAGCGGAAGCCGCGGGGCCTTCTAAGTCAGAAAGTCTCCAGAGCTTGCGCCTGGCTATTTGCGCCGCCCGGCACTTAGACGCGGGTCTTAGAAGCGGGCTGGGGAGACGGAGTTGTTGCCGGAGCTGAGACCGGGCGGCCAGAGTCCGCAGGGATGAACCTCGAGTTGCTGGGTGAGGAGGGCTATGACTGCGTCTTAGAGAACCCTTTGGTACTGGAAAGAGGGAACCGGGGCTGGAGGGGACTCAGGCTGCAACCTAGGGACTCTGTCCTGCGATGGATCTTTGGGCGCTAATGGTATGGAGCTGCTGCAGCAGGGGGAAATCCAGCTTCTGCCGGAATAGACTCTGCCTTGCCTTTGTGAAGCCACTTTCAGTTCAGTTGTGGAGCGATAAGGACACTTTGTGACTTAGCTGGGATTACAAGGGTCGCAGGTACTGAAGTAGCTCAGAGCAGGCAGAAGCATAGTTGTTGGAGATGAAATCTGAGGAAGTGAGGAGTTGGGGGAAGCTTTAAAGACCTGTCACTATTGAATGTCAGGACAGGTTAAATCATTTTGTAGAAACACGGAATGTCTAAGAAGGCAACTTGGAGAATTTAAAGTAAAAGTATCTCATTGAACAGCTTTGGGGGGAAAAAAGGTTCAGAGGGTCATGACTAGGCACTAGGCAAGTAACTGGGACAGTTGGCACTGGAATCCGGTTATCCTGACCGCCAATTTAAAATCCTAGCTACCATGGATGGTGTATACAGTACTAAAGTGTGAAAACAGAGGTAGTTGATTTTAGTTACCTTCTCTTTGAGACATTTCCCCCAACCCCTTACTCAAGTTGGTCCAATCTTTAAGGGTTTTATTAGGTTTAAGCTTTCGTTTAGCATGGCAGCTTAGGGTGTCTGGGATGTTTGAGAACTCCTACATGACTTGGTATCTTTATTGGTTAGGTTTCTCTTAAGAAAAGAAGGATTCAGAACATGTGTTGACCAAAGGGTTATAAAAATAACTTAAGAAATGGCCTTGCCTTTAAGTGTGGAGTGTAGGTGATTATGTAAATAGCCATATATTATGGCAGAACATAGGCTTTCACAAATCGTTACCAAGTGCTAAGAACATGTTGAAGAAGGAGTTAATAATATCTGTGGAGCAGGGGAGCTAAAACATCAGGGAAAACAAACCCTCCAAACCTAGAGGAGTTGGAGTGGCTGTTTAAAGGTGGTAAAATATTGACAGATTAAGTATGAAGATATGGGGAGAAATGCTTATAAGTCAAGTGATACAAGAACTAAAGAATTCCTTTTTGGGGTTGGTGCCATCTGTTTTGTGGCACTCTTGAATGCCAAGCTGAAAAGTCTGTGCATTTTAAAGAAGGGAGAGTAGGTTCATTGAAGGGTTTTGACCTGGTAAGTAACTCAGTATCATCTCTTGGTTTTATCTGACAGTAATGCGTAGTTGAGTCTGAGTGGAGTATAAAATCCATTTGGTGGGCTACAGTAGGTGAGTGATAAGGAAGCCTGAATTAGGAAATGGAAATAAAATGCATTGAGGAGGAAAAACTGACAGAATTTGAGAATTTATGGCATATAGTGATGATGAGGAAGAGAGTGAAATGAAAAATAATGGAAGCAAATAGGGGTGCTATTAGTAAAATTTAATGATATTTGGAAAAGAGAGTTAGGTTTGAATGTGTTGTGTACCTAGAGTTCAGAAGACAGGTTTGGATTTATGAGAGAGAGTTATAATTGTCATAGGTGGACTAACTGAAATCTTGTGAATAGGTGACTTGACCAAGGGGGGATGTAGGAGGGGCAGAAAATTGCCAAGGACAAAATATTGTATAATTAGGGGACAAGAGGAAGAATAAATGGTAAGAAATTAGAAACCAGTTGTTTAGTGCTTAGTATCAGCTAGGCACATTTTCAAGTGCCTTCCTTACATTTTTCCAGATAGGCGTAGAAGAGAAAATAGGTTACTGTGGTGCCTTCCTATAGAAGCCAGTTGTAGAGCAGTTGAGGTTGACAGCTGAGAAAGGGCTGCTCTATTTTGCTCTTAGACAGCTTGGGCTCCCCAGCAACCTGAGCTGATGGCAGATTACAATTAAAGAGAAAGTCGAGTCATGGGAAGAGGAGTTGTTTTTTTTTTGTTGTTGTTTTTTTTTTTGGTGCTGGGGATTGAACCCAGGGCCCCATGCATACTAAGCACATACTCTACCACTGAACTCTACCCAGCCTGGGAAAGGTTTTTTCTCAAATGATATAGAAGATTCATGAGGGGGAAACTGAGAAGGGAATATTTAGCATTGAGAGATTAGACAATTTAAATGAAGTATGTGTCCAAAAGCTACAAATCATTGTAGAAATGACTCAGATTTAAAGCCAAAAGATTCATATGTACATATAAAAGGGTGAAAGAAACAGTGATGTGATTGTGGGAGCATACTAAAGGCCACCTGGTCTGATAAAGGAGATGATAATGTGTGTTTCTTTTTTGGTAGAACTAGGAAGTGAACCCAGGGGTGCTTTACCATTGAGATACATTCCCACTCCTTTTTATTTTTTGAGACAAGGTCTTACCAAGTTCCTAGGCTGTCCTTAAACTTGTGATCCTCCTACATCAGGCTTCTGAGTCTGGGGGATTGCGTTGTATGCCCAGCAGTGTGTTCCTAATGTGGCCACTCAGATGGATCTTAGGTATGACACTAACTTTTGCAACCACTTTTTGAGCCCCTGCTGTGTTATCAAGTAGTATGCACAGGAGATACGAAGTTAATAAGACAGTTTTTCGAACTCTTTTACCACAACCCAAAGTAAGAAATATATTTTATATCACAGCTTATTATATATACATACACATATAACTTTCAAAATTATATGTAATCCTTGTTATGCTTAGTATCTTGATATTTCTTTTCTAATCTATTAATTTATTGAAATTCATTAAATTTATTTTCCCGTTTATGGTGAATTGAATTCTATGATTTGAGAAACACTAAAATAAGATACTGTCTTTGCTCTGGATAAACAACTAGAACTAAAAGGAAAGACAAACAAGTAACTCTGTGTTATAGGGAATCATAGCAAATTAATATATTATGAGAATCCAGCAACTGAGCAGTTAATTCTACATTACTGGTGGAACTGGCTGTAGGATTTGGGAAGATGTTATTAGAGGAAGTGTCAGTTAGACATTAAAGATGGGGTAGGGAGCTAGGGCTGCAGCTCACAGGTAATGTGCTTGCCTAGCATGTGCAGTGCCCTGGGTTCGATCCCGGTACCACCAAAACAAAACAAGCATCCAAAATGGATGGAGTAGGATTTTTCCAGAGAGAAGTTGAAGACAACTGCAGGGACAAACAAACCTCCCAAGCATGATGTGTATACATTATGTTCAGGAAGTACTAATATGCAGCTGCTGCTCAGGATGAGTAAATTGAGGTTCTTTTCTAGATGGCCAGTGGATAGGGAATTAGCCAAAGATAAATTGGAAAATACTGGTTGGGGTCTGAATGAAATTACTTTTGAAATTATATTTAGTAGTTTGTACACTGTTTAGCTAGAAAGGTTTTTATTCAGGTGAGAGATGTAATCTGGGGCTTAGAAAGTCAGCTCCAGCAGCTTTGTGAAAGATTGAGGGGCAAGACTGGAGTTAGGGAAATACAACAATTACTGTGTTGGGATGCGGGTACAATGGGATTGTCATGGCAGAAGAGATGTCTCTGGGGTAAGGTCCGGAGGAGTTTCCAGAGAGGAAAACTCAACCCAGGATCCATGAGATCCTTGACATACATGTCAGTAGAAGCACAGAGATTTATTTAGGAGAGTAAGGAGCATGTATTCAAGGGAGAATGCAGGCCATCTTCAATGAGAGATACATTTTTGGGGTTCTTGGCTCCTCTTTTAAAGGAAACTTGGTGAGGGGTGGGCATGGGAAGGTATGTGAGGATGACATCAATCTGATTATTCTTAGGCTGATGTGAACTCCATTAAGTGATGAGAAGATAACATTGGAAAGTCCCTAAAATTGTAGGTTTCTTAAAATGTCATAGCTCTCTCTACTTTTTGTTTATTGGTGGGTTAATTAACAGTGTACAAGGTAATTGTCATAAGTGAACAAATTGAGGGTTAGATTTTTTTTTATAAAATTTTTTTTGTAGTTGTAGATGGACAGAATGCTTTTATTTTATTTGTTTATTTTTATGTAGTGCTGAGGATGAAACCCAGTGCCTCATGCATGCTAGGCGAGCGCTCTATCACTGAGCTACAGCCCTAGCCCATGATGGTTAACTTTTAAGATTTATAGATTTCCTAGAAATTTGGGGGTGATAGGTGGGAGAGTGACTAGCTTAGGAAGTGACAGGCCTGGAAAGGTTAGTGTAACCTGAGATTAAAATATCTTCTACTACTTTTTTAAAAAAAATTCTTCTATCCTTATTTCAGTATCAATTATCTAGACATTTCAGTTATATTTCTCTAAAAGAAATACTAATGGACCCATCATCTATTAGAGGAAGCAGGATGGAAACTGCTGTTCTGGTCCTAAACTAATGTAATAGGGAGTAACTGGTTTGCAAGTGGAAAACAAAAAAGCTATTGGGAGAAAAGGTACATGATATTTTAGAGCATATGATAATTGAGACTTTAAGGAGGTATATGTGATACATGTAATGAAGGAAAAAGGCTAGAGAGGCTTAGAAAACCACAGGAAGTTTGGAGAAAGAATCCTAACAGGAAAAGGAAGATCTGAAGGGGTATTTGAA